TGTTTCAAGATTTTGTTGGAATGAATCCTTTGTTTTTCCCTGTATTGACTACCAAGGTGAGAGTGTGGGGAGCAAGCTAGTGGGAGGTGATTGCCTTCCGTGTCACTAGGATCGGAGGCTTGGCGCTCGAGTAAGCTGCTTTGGGAGGAAATGCCACGGACCGTTTCCCTGGGCTTGATTTTAAAAGTGTCGGCTCGGGAGAGGTTTTTTTTGTGGCAAATGCGGTGGCGGCCGCCAGCTTCAATCACCCGCTCCTGTTTCACCTCACGGCAACCTTGCAAGCCTCCGCTTCGTGTGTGTTTGGCGCCACCAGTCTGAACAGCTCGGCTCCAGGAGGATCGCCACCGGGTGGTGTGTGGCTGTTGTCCAGATCACCACATGCTACCACCTAAAGCCCTTAAGGCTGATTCGGGTGGCCTCATTGTTTTGCCACCACATGGTCATTTTCCGGATCCTCCACCCCTCCACTGGAATCTACTGCACAGCCTCAGCCGCCCGGAACAGATGCTCCTAATCCCAGGGACAGCATGTTCAAGAAGTAGGCTCCGGCCCAGGAGTGGGCCCGTGGTGCAACTCCAGCAGTTCGCTGACCAATGGGAACTCACCACGTTGGACACCACGAGTGGCGCCTGCATCCGGACCTATTTCAACTGACCCAGAGGTTCGGGATTCCAACAGTCGATCTGTTTGCCAGTCAGGAGAACACGCAGCTTCCCCGCTTCTTCTCTCGCTTTCATTCTCCCCTGGCGGAAGGTGGCCGCCAGACTATTGTACACCTTCCTGCCTCTGTTTCCAAGATCATCGCCGAAGGAGCAGAAGTTCTCTTGGTGGCCCCTCATTAGCCCAGAAGATTCTGGTATGCCGATCTTGTCAGTCTTTTGGTGGTGAATCCCTGGCACATCCCTCAGGATTAGGTCTCCCTTAGCCAGGGGCCATTGTCCATCCAGACCCATGGTGGCTGCAAATGGCCGTCTGGCACTTGAAGGGGGCCTCCTGAGGAGGGACAACTTTTCGGCCAAGGTGATCCAAACTATCCAGGCAACCAGGAGGCCCTCAACCATCAGACTCTTATGATTCGACTTGGGCGACCTTTGCCACCTGGTACTCATTCCCGTGCCCTTGACCCGGTCACTGCCTCAGTGCCATCTTCTTGGACTTGCTGCAGGAGGGCCTGGACAAGGGTCTTGCCCTGAACACCCTCTGGTGTAAGTTGGCAGCACTGTCTACCCTCTGGGCAGGGCATCCATCCCAGATCCTCAGCAAGCTGTCAAGGATATGTACCTTCATCAAGGGCGCCTCAAACCTCCGACCTCCGGTGGTTCATCATTACCCTATGTGGCAGCTCTCTGTGGTTCTACAGGCCCTGACTTCTCCTTTCGAACCGCTCAGTTCTGTTAGCCTCAGACATCTGACTCTTAAGACAGTTTTCCTCATTGCCATCACTTCGGCAAGGAGGATATCGGAGTTGGTGGCGCTCTCCGTTCGGGACGATTTATGCATTATTCATCCTGACAGGGTCGTTCTCCGCTTGGTCCCCTCGTTTATTCCCAAAATTAGCACTTGGTTTCACAGAACGCAGGAGGTTATTTTGCCGGACTTTTGCCCGCGACCTAGGCATCCCAGAGAACGTACCTGGCATACACTAGACATGCGATGGGCTTTGTGCAGATATCTGAAGACGACTATGGAGTTCTGCAGGTCTGAGGCATTGTTCGTCTCATTTCAGCCGGGGTCGATGGGGCGGAAGGTGACATCATCCACCATTGGCAGGCGACTGAGGGCCTGCATCGCCCTAGCATATGACCACCAGTCCAGGGCAGTTCCACGCAACATCACTGCCCACTCCATGTTGAGTGCTTCCACAATGGCAGCTCGGGTGACTCAGGTGACAATAGAGGATATTTGCAGCGTGGCAACTTGGTTGTCACCATCTCCGTTTGTCCGGAACTGTAATTTGGACACGTTTGCCTTTGCCGAGACTTTGTTTGGCAGACGGGCGCTGCAGCAAGTTTATTCTGTGGCCGAACCATTGGCCTCATCTTCTATCCACTCTGGGGACAGTTAACTTGGGTATGTCCCATGCTTGGACTTTCCAAGCAGCGCACAGGAAAATGACCATTGGCTTACCTGAAGGCTCTTTTTCTGTGCGCTGCGGGACAGTCCAACCCCGCCCAGATATCGTGCGGGCCCAGGGTTCAAGAACACCAGACAATCTCCACGCCATCTCATCGCATCTTCCAGTTCCAGGCATCGTTAAAAATCTGGCCTTAAGGAAGAGCAGGAGACGTGGCCAAAGAATCTGAACTCAGTCCTTAGGCAACCAGACTAATTTAACCCATGCTTGGACTCTCCTGCAGTGCACAGAAAAAGACCCTTCAGGTAAGCCAATGGTCAGTCTCTGTCACAGTTACTGTTTTTGAGCCAGGCCTTGCCGAATCTTTACTTATACTTTTGATTTTTCCTGCCTAAATGTAAAGCTTTG